ATATTGCCCCTTTAAAGGAACTACAACATTTTCATCGTCGGTCGCTGTCATTTCTTTAAGCCTGTTGAACTGTGTGTTTCTTTCTGCAGAGGTTTGATGAGTTGCTGCAGTTGGCCTCTAAAGGGCAGCATACGAGTGTYGATATGCTCGTTAAGGACATTTACGGAGGATCTTATGGATGTTTGGGCTTGACTGGAGATCTTATTGCAAGCAGTTTTGGGAAGTCTGCAACCGCTGACAAAGGTGACACGTGAATTTTATCTTCGTGTTTGCAAACATGAAGATAAGCGAGCTACAGAAAGTGTTTTCTGTTTAGTTGGCCTGCTGAAATGACAAATGACAAAACCCCAAAAGGAAACTTATCATTTCAAAAATGAAACAATTAAACRTTTGTACGTTTATAGATTACACAGATTTCTGTTCTTCTGAGTGGAATTTTGAAAGCAGAGTTGAAAAAGACACAGTGCCCRTTTGCTCAGTTGGGAAATGGGAATGTTTCTGTTCCAGAGAAACCAGCAGCCTGTGCTGACTTGCTGGAGTGAAGCCAGTTGTTGGTTCACAGCTCCTGTTGAGCAACTACTGTAACAGTTTGTTCAGCTTTAGTTCAAAAGTACTGATGTAAATTTTAAAAATGACTTTGCAGATGATACAAACTTGTCTCTGTAGTATTTATATACATGCTAACCAGTAGTACAGAATGGTATTTATTCTCACGAAGCTCTGAATTGTAGAGTTTTCCAAAGAAGACATGGCCAAGAGTTTACTCCACATGATCAGCAACGACATCGGGCAGCTCGCCTGCCTCTACGCCAAACTGCACAACTTGTCCCGGGTCTACTTTGGAGGCTTCTTCATCAGAGGACACCCTGTCACCATGCACACCATCACGTACAGCATCAACTTCTTCACCAAGGCAAGCCGTCACCTTCTGCTGCAAATAGTTAGTTTTTTTGCAACAATAGAACATTTCGTAGTTAGAGATTTATCACAAAAGCGCATAGCAAAGCCTACCTATCTGGGTCACAGGTCAACCGTGTAAACGTTAAGGTTGCTATGAAAACATTGTAATTCTGCAAATTCAACAAGCTCAGAAAGCACATTTATAGCTTAGATATTTATGAAAATTCTCCTATGATCCTAAAGGAAAGTTTAAAGGGGCAATATTATGTGTTTCTCAGGCATACATTTAAATACTATACCATAATAAAGTATCTATGTCACCTTTAGTTGTTATTAAAATGCTGTTTTTATGGTTAAATAGAAAATAAACTTATCTTCTCATCACCTCCTTTTCTAAATGCCTTAAATTGGCCTCTGTCTCTTTAAGAACCTCCTTCCGCTTCTGTCCCACCCATTTCAGCGCGCTGGGTGGGGGTGTGGTATGCGCGTTATGATACAGTTTACTTCGCATCTGAAAATACATTTCCTCAAAGGTATTTTGAATCTGAAAAGAGCTTCACTGAGTGAGAAGTAGTGTTAGGAGCTCAGCAGACAGTTTAAGTTTCACTTTCAGTTTCACCCGTCGTTTGCTTTGTTGCTGCTGAGAGCCTGCAGGTGTCATGGGCGGGGTGTGTGGGGTGGGGAGGTGTGCTCCGTGATGAGCAAGTTCGGCTTGGAGGCACAGCCCAGAGGCGGAGATGGTCCCAAAAGGCGGTTCTAGTCCCAACCTGTCATTTTAGCTCCCCTGCCTGTTGCCTCAGGACACTACAGGATTTCTCAAACATGCATGAATGAGCCAAAGTAAGACTTTGGGCATGTTTTAGATGAGAGAATAACATTATAACACGATATAAAACTCAATAAAGTTGATTTTACATGATATTGCCCCTTTAAAGGGGCACACAAATCAGTTCAGAGCAAATGCATCGAGGTTGTATAACAGCGTAAATTTACCTGTTTCATTTGTGCAGTTACAATGAGCAACTCAGCCTTTTTCCCGGTGAACGCGTTAGCTCGGCTCGCTTCGCTCATTTGTGATCATTTCTAACCACGAAACGGTCTATTTCTCCTCTGCCTCGCCTGTAACTCGTATTTTTACCTCCTGGTGTTCTGCTGTCTCAGGGGGAAGTTCAGGCTTTGTTTCTGAGACATGAAGGTTACCTCGGAGCCATCGGAGCATTTCTTAAAGGAGCRGAAGAAGACAGTAAGGAGAAACCGACCGTTGATGCTTCTGATTATTCACCAATCATGCAAACACAGGAATGACAGAACTACCTGTCAGGTCTGCCGAGGTTTCTGTGCATAGTTTTATATATATCACAATTTTTTCTGGTTTTGTTCGGCCTGGATTAAAAGATCTCATCTGTCCGGTGAATCAGCAACTAAAAAATGCAGTTATTTTAATGCACATTATTATTTTAAATCTAAAATGAAATGTTTGCTAAAGTAATGTGAGGTTTGTACTTTTAGATTCGAGATAATAAAATAAATCAAAATGTTTATTAATGTTTMTTAAAATGTCAAAATAATAATCATCTTAATATAAGGTCTCTGTGCCAAAGGCAATAATGGTTTTGCTGTTTTGTCTTCACTGTTAGCAAAATATCTCATAAACAATTGGGCAGATTTTAATTAATCTCTTAGAAAGTAATTATAAGATGCACGTCTGGAACTGMTTAAACTTTAGTCAGCYAAGATGGCCGCCACAGCTAATCCATATGAAGGCTTAAATGACTACAGCTCAGTCAGTTTTACAGATGTTGAGCTAAATCTCGGAGTGGTAGTAGCTGAGTGTGACATGATTCGAGTAGAACAGATAAAACTCTTTCCTCGTCATGAGATGATCTTAGTTTATACCTCTGGTTAACCTTTTATTAAATATTACATTTAGAGCAAAGCTATTCAACTGGCGGCCCACGGGCCACATCCGGCCCACGAGGGAACAAAGTTCGGCCCGCCAATTGGTTCATTCATCTCTTAAGCCCAAACCCCTGGTTTTCTAATTTAATTATTATAAGTTCTTTTAGTTAGACAAAGACATGTGTGATATCTACAAAAATGTCAGAATCTTGGCTACAAGCTGGTAAAAAACATTTCTATGAACACCTAAGACAGTTAAAATTACAAGCAGTTGAAGTTAAACTATGAAAGTGAAAATAAAATTTGTTTAAAAATTTGACAAGTCAGAGATGTCAAAATAATATTTGTGTCAAATAGGAGGCWTAATGTGTTCTTTTTGTTTTTGATATTGTTGTGGGGTTCCACAGGGTTCTTTACTGGGACCAAAGTTGTTTCTATATATTAATGACTTGGTAAATGTGTCTGGGTTGKTTAGATGTGTTTTATTTGCAGACGGCACTACATTTTTTTGACTGGGTAAGAACATAGAACAGATGTTAAATAGGAGGCATAATGTGTTATTTTTGATTTTGATATTTTTATTTTCACAACTTTTGTTAAATAGGGTTCTGTATGTTGTATTCATGATTAAATGCAGCAAAATAAATTATTTACATAATGACTTTAATTGCTGGATGTTCAGCCTCTGAACTGTTGCCCTGCAGTAACTGTGGCCCTCGGAGCAGTTTAGTTGAATAGCTCTGATCTAGAGTATGAAAATGCTCATCTAACATAAACTTACTTTATTTTTATTTTATTTTATTTTATTTTTTAGATCCAAACCAGTACAGTTGGGGTGAAAATTACGCAGGAAGCTCAGGTTTGATGAGCGTCTCTCCAGAAATGAACCCGATGCAGCGAGCTCGCAGCGGGACGGTGAGTTTAGTGATAATAAGACCTGAGTCTGGCTCGTACCGTAGCGTACCGTAACGCTTTATTCATCACAGACCCATTACTGTCAGAACATTCACTGGATTTGTACTCCTTTGATACTATTTCATCAAAGTTTGKGCTTTTCAGTGTATAATGCAATCAGTGAGTTTCTACACTCAGAACGACGTTCATCTCATCAGTCTGATCATTCTTTTCATTTCCTTTTCCACACATTCCTCTGTCTGCGTAACTCCTTCAGTTTCCTGTAAGTACCTCCACCTGTGCTGCTGCTGGGATGATGCTCTGCTGCTGCTGCTCACTCTGCCTTGATGCAAAGCTTTGAAATAAAACAAAACAAAACAAAAAAAAAACCCACAGCAGACTTCCCTTGTGTGTTCAGACTCGAAGCCGCTCAGCTTCTACTTTCCTGCTTCTCTTTTGCTCATAAGCAGATAATTTCTAGCGCAGCTGGTGTGATTTAACTAATGCTGCTGGTCAGTGATGCTCAGTAGCAGTAAACAGTGCTTTTAGATTTTTCATATTGCTTTTAGTTTGTMGGCATTTTCTTATAAAACTGTTAGACATTAAACAAGAAGCACYGTTACAATATAATTTTCATGTTTTTTATTCGTTTCTGGAGATCATCTCAGTACCTCCCAGTTAGTGTTTTACAGTTCATACTGGGGTCCAAACCCTGACTTTACTAACTGCTGTGCTAGACGGATGACAGAACTGATTTCTGATGCTTGAAAAGCGGTGAAAAAGTGTCAAAATTCAGTGTTTATGTTTGGTTATTTCCACATTTTTGTTGTTTTGTAGTTCGACATGTTGGAGATGGACCGTCTGGAGAGGCAGCTGGTGAATCTACCTCTGCTCCAAGACCCTTCGTCTTACATCCCTGACACTGTGGACCTGACGGAGGACGCGCCGGCCCGGGAATACTGGCTTTACTGCTTTGAGGAGGCGTTAGATGGGGTAGGAACAAAGGTTATAATAGTTTAAGATTTTTCATTATAGTTTAGTTTTATTTAGTTGGGAYRTTTTTTTCTTTTAATTCAGTTAGTTTTAATTCATTTTTAGAGCGGATTTGCTAGTTTTTGTTAGTTATTATTGCATTTTTAATGCTTAGTTTTAGTTTAGTTTAAGAAAATTTAGTGTTCGTTAACAGAAATCGTGATGAGATCACATAAATGTTGAATCTGATTAAAATTGTGAAGAGAATGAACCATACAGCCCCAGATMTGGTTCTGAGCAAAGCTTTATTGCTTATGGCTGAAGCAAGCAGAGCAGCGTAGTCCGAAACCAGAAGTTCCGGTCTATTAAAACAGGGATCTTCAGTGCCTGGTACGCCCACTACAGGCCTACGGCTGAATCGCAGACACTCTGAACAGCAATGCTTCCCCGATGTTTTTATAAACGTTTTTTATTATGTGTTGTCATGTTTCAGGCATGTATCTAAACATATTTTAATCAAGACATAACAATAGATAAAAGTCAAGCCTTAAAAAGTAAAACTAAGAAAATGATGTGGTGCTTTCAAATCAGTATCTAAATGACTAATAAATTCCTTCACAAGTATTGGTTTGCCAATGCATCCTCCAGCTTGAGGTGTTAGTATGAGCTAACTAACCAGCAACCTTATGGTCGTGAAAGCGTCCATTATAGTAACAACTTTCTAAAATAATTGTGTAACTCAATTTTGCAAAAAAAAAAAAAGACTTGACGACAATAATTGTCTCCAACCCAGTGCTACCTGTTGCTTGTTTTTCACAGGAGCTACTGAGAGAAGCTAGYGTGTCAWGATACTCACAGTTAGCCATCTTGTGTGAGCTTGATTCATGCAGTTTTTCCTTTGAGAATATTCCACCTGTTTTATCTGTTTCTACTACAAGACACCTGCTTTGATGTTTCTCACAGTCATATTAAAAAAAAATTCCAAAGTGGACGTTTTCTCCCATCTTTTGTTGTCGTCATCTGGCAGACGATGCTGAGCAGCAGACTGTAAACAAATGTTACCCACAGCTAATGTGAAACTACTCAGTTTGAAATAAATAGATAAATAAATAACAATTTGTTTAATCAGTCCACGTCTCAAAATAAATAGACAAACAYTAAAACTAAGGATGTTCTATCTATAATTTCAGTTAGTTTGAGTTAGTTTTGTAAAAAAAAAATTATACAGTTGTAGTTATCGTTTTTTCATTTTATTACAGTTTTTTGTTTATTTTAGTTAAGTTTTAATTTCAGTTTTTTTTATTTAGTTAGTTTTAGTTAACTAAAATGTTGTTTTAATTTCAGTTTTTGTTATTTAGTTAGTTTTAGTTAACTAAAATAACCCTGGTAGGAACACAAAAGAACACCTCGTAAAACGACTTCACWCCCCGTGGCGTGTGGTAGTAAAAGTGCTTGTGGTTGTAAATAAAACAATAAACAAACTGCAGAATGTAATTACACTCAGATCACAAGCTTCCAAATCTAATATCCTGCAGTTTCGAAGGAAAACATCCAGATATATTTAAGCCTATGAGACAATAAATTAAAGTAAAATCACAAACAGGGCTGGATCTGAGCTGATGGCTGTTTGTTTTTTCTGCCGGAGCAGGTGGTTAAGCGGGCCTTGGCGAGCCAGCCCGACATGCCGGAGGCGGCCGTTCGAGCCGAGAAGTTTCGCCAAAAGTACCGCCACAAGCTTCAGACTCTGCGCCACCAGCCGTTGTAAGGATTCTGATTGGCTGCCTGTGCCTTTGGTTAACCTAGACGTTGCTTCTTAGTCCAAAACTAAAAACCTTCTCTTCATTGTCTGCATTAGTTTTTACGTCTTCATACCTTCTGTAACTGCCTGTGTGCTTTTTCCATGAATAAGAAATGATGTTTGTTCTGTTTGTTTCAGTTTTAGGAGCTGGATACTTTGAGTAAATGTTTATTTTTTAATTTTATTGAATAGAGAACCTCACATTTTGGACATAAAAGTAATTGACGTGAGCAAAAGGAAGAAATCATCTACACGTTCCACCGTCGCTGCCTCGTTGTGTCTGTTTATGTTTTTCTTTGGCTAATGTAGAGTGCTTCTCTTCTCACCTAGTGCTTATGGATCCCTCACTGTCAGAAGTCTGTTAGACACGAGGGAACACTGTTTAAACGAGTTCAACTTTCCTGATCCCTACTCTAAGGTCTGAGTGAAATCTGTCAAATCTGTTGGTTGTGTGTTGTTGTTTTTTTTATGTTTTCTTTTTTTCTTTTCTCCGGTTTGGTCTTTGCTAAATCATTCTGCGACTCATTTTGTGCTCTCACAGTGAGACGAACTAGTTCCACTCGTTGAATTTTAGACGTTGCAGTTCTAAATGTTTTGAAGAAGTCTAATTGTAATTTAGTTGGGACTCGCGGCCGTGTCATGTTGTTACTGTGTTTCAGATTAAAGAGCATGAAAACGACGTTGCTCTGAAGTACTACCAGAAGGCTGTGAAGTCCCTGGAGGAGCTGAGCTGGGAGGACAAACAGTTTGCTCTGGTCAGGGGGGTTCTGGCTGGGAATGTGTTCGACTGGGGAGCCAAGGCCGTGTCAGAGTCAGTAAACTTTTTTTTTTGTATTTATCATGTTGTGTTGTAGCAGCAGATCTGTTCTAGTGGTTTCATAGACTTGAATAAAAACACTAGACTGAGCCCCGCCCATACCGTACACTGGTAACGTCTGTGACAGCTTGGAGGAGCAGAAACAGACCAAACAGGGCAACAGCTCACAGCCTCCATAGAAACTAATAGATAAACAGCAGCTGAACTGGATCTGTTTCACAAATTATCTGTCATGTTTTTACAATAAATTAATAATTATGTTAATTTCCTTCAACAATCATGTAAAACAGCAGATT